CTCGGCGGCCGCCCCGTGCCCACCGACCCCGGCCCCGGCGCGCCGGCCCCGTCCCCTCCAGATGCAGAGAGAGGCTGCGTTCCCGCTGGGGCACTGCCACCCGCTCCGCATCATGGGGTCTGTGGACCAAGGTAACCGTGCCCGCCGCGCGCCCGCCCGCCTCTCCCTCCGCGCCCCCAGCCCCTGCCTTCGCTCGCGGCCGCCGGGACGGCGCTTCCAGCTCCCGGAGAGGTCGGTGCCGAGGCCCCGGGGACCCCGCTTGCCGCTTGCCCGGGGCACGCAGGAGGGCGGCCGGGAGCGGCGCCCACGCGCTGGCCGGGGAGGAAGAGCGGGGACGCCCACTGGAGACGGCTTCGCGCGGGGGCAGGGAGGTGGCCCGAGGCGGGATTCCCTGGCCGGTCTGTGGGAGGATTTTCCCCTCCGCCGGACACCGGCAGGGACTCGTGCTGCTAACCGCTGGCTGTTTAACCTTTTCAGCGCTCGGCTTTTCACAGCAAATGCCATTCGGCTGCATCACCACCATCACCATCACCACCACCATCATCATCCATATTATTATTGATTATTCTTATTAAGTGGATTTTTTTTTCACTCTTTCTTTCAAGAGAAGGGGATTGGCATTTTACAATATAGTAAATATCGTAGGGAAGACTTTGCTTTCTAACAGGGCAACAGATGCTCTGGGACATTTAGGCAGGTTTCATCCCCTTTTTAATGCGCCCCCCTTTCGAGTGCAGGGCGCCCGCAGCTCGGGTTGTGATCTGATTACACTGTGCCCTCTGGCTTCTCTCCCCTCCTCCTGGGTTAGCGCTGGAAGCATAGGTTCTGCTTGGATCTTGTGGGAGGGGGTTAACATCTAAGACGTGGACGCTATGAGGAACCCGTGTGGTCGGGCTTGCTTGGGGGATCCGGATGGGCAGTAAGGAAGCCGACTTCAAAGTGAAAACCACGAGGTCCGGTCCGTTTCCAGGAGGGAGCCCTGCATGCAGGGGTGGGGGGCAGTACCAAGGGGGAGGCGCTGCAAGAGTTAAGCGAAATAAATTCGCGTAGGAGGAGTTAGCCTCGTGTCATAAAATCAGAGTTGAATGTAGGTTTTGTGCTCTGCGTGGCTGATTAAAGTTCTGGGTGGGGGGAATGGGGGAAGAAATGACAATTTCAGTAAATAAACCTGAGGGCTTTTTGTTGAAAACCAGATCGAGGCCAAAGGCCTTGGATTAGGTAAATGGTGTGCTCTGCCACAGGGGACCTAAGTGGCATAGTTCTGTCTGAGTCGTGCTTTTGGAAGCAGGGCCCTGCCCGCACTCCGAGGGTTTTAACTGGTACCAGTTTGTCCTGTCCTCTGCTAGTGGTCAAGCAGCCGAGACACGGTGACATCATGGCATGACTGTTGCATCATCTTGAAGGATGCTCTCAGACAGGCGACACATATTAAGGACGCGAAATGGTTTTTACTGCCATATGAACCGAAACTGAGCGTTTGATGTCCTGGTGGTGGGGGTGGGAGGACAGTCTAGTGCCAAGTTTAGCTCTGTTTGGGAAGAGAGAGGGAAGAAAGGAGGGCGGGAGGAGGACAGAACTTAGGAGAGAAATTGGGCTTCTGTCTTCCTGTGTGATCTAAACAACCCTCTGATTTTGTCAGGACTGCTGGTCTCCGCTGTGGGTTTACGAGCTTACTCCTCCCGACGTTTGCAACGATGTGTGTTTTGTGTGCAGTGTGTCGGTTTCCCTCCCCGGGCCACGTTCCCTTGTGCGGGCGTCGTGGGTGTGTGCATGCCAGCGTGTGCACAAGGGCACCAGACCGTTCCCGGCAAACCACACTTGGCAGGCCAAGGCAGCTGGGCACACAGTGCAATCCCAGGCACCAAAGACAGCTGGTTGGACACAGGCGGATGCAGATGCATCCACTTGCCCTGCACGGGCGCTTGAGAGGCAAAGGCTAACGCTCCTCTCAACTCCAAAACCAGCAGCCTCGGAGACGGAGGCGGGACCTCGGAGAAGGTTTGTATGCAGGTGAGGGCAGAAGGGTTTGCATGGTAAAAAATAAGGAACCTCCCGTGCCGCTTTGGGCTGAAGCCCTGCCGAAAACTGGAGATCTGAAAGAGGCGATTCAGTGTTATCTGCAGTGGGATGATGGAAGATATTTCAGGAATAAACAAGCCCAGGATGAGTTCCGTTCACATCCAGGCCCACATTCCCTGACTTCTGCATGGATGAGAATTTCTGCTTGGCCACATCACAGCTGTGTGATCTTGGGCAAGTGACTTAACCTCTCTGTGCCTCAGTTTCCTCATCTTTTGAATGGAGCCAAGAAAAACGCTTCCCTCACAGGGTTGTTGTAAGCATTATTGAGCACCTCGAACAATGTCTTAAGGACATTCCTGGCATACTATAGCTGCTGAGCAACTGAGCTACTGAAGCTGGACTTCATAAGAATCCTTTGACTCGTGACAATACTTTGTGTCTCTCAAGGTATTTTTTCACTTACTGGAACTTCGTAATGACAAAGACTGGGTTAAGATCATGGCTTGGGAAGGCTCAAATTTCCTCATTTGCAAAAAAGGAATAATGATAGTGTTGACTTCATAGGGCTGTCATGTGTCCTATGAGATCTTGTACACAGAGCGCTGAGTTCTTGCTTAACGTGCGGTCCTCATGCACTCAATGTTAGTATTGCCTGATGGCTGAGGACGATGAGACCTGCTTTGCCCAAAGTCATACAGCAAATTAGAAGCTCAGGGTCTGGCACCCAGCAAGCACTCAGCTGTCCTCTGTGATGGGAACAGACACACAGCCTGCGCTGACTCAGAGTCAGCCCTGGGGCTGAGGGCTTTACAGGTCTTAAGTCGTCTAAACCTTGCAGCAGCTGCGTACAATAAGCGCTGTAATTGTCTCCTTCAGGGAGAAAGGCAGGGAGGCACAGAGAGGGCAGGAACTGGCCCAGTGTCACCCAGGGAGGAAGCGGTGGAGCCTTAATCTGAACCAGCGTAGGTGCTGGTGGCTCTGAGGTCCATAGCATTCTCCTAATTTCTAAATGCCGCTGGGCAGATGAGGTAACTAAGGTGGGGCCTGACCCTGGTTCCGGGCTCTCTCCTCAGTCCCGCCATCTTGTTCTTGGACACATCCTCAAAGGAAAGGAGAGGGCATGGAGAGCTTTAGAGACGAGCAAACTGAGGCAGCTGCTGATCTATGCATCAGGGAGGGCGCCTTGTCTTGCAGGGAATGGAAGCACAAAGCTTTTGCTTCCGTTAGAGGGAGGCAGGTCCTCAGCCAGCCAGTTACAAGGCCCCAAAGCCGCCATTTTCTGTTCTCCCTCCCCCGGGAAGTCCTTCCATCCTCTCCTCTCCTTGGAACCCCGTGTGTGGATGCCCCCCCCAGCTACCTTTCAAAGGTATTTCCTTTGTGTGGCTGGACACCCCAGGGAAATGACGGGTCTCCTGTCCCTGTTGGTCTCCAGTGGGTCCTGTGACATTTCCACCGCCCCAGAGGTCACCAGCTTGAGCTCCGAGTCAGGTTCAGATCCTGCCTCTGCCACTTGCTGGCTGCACGACCCCATGCAAGTCACTTTGCTGCTTGTGCCTTAGTTCCCCATAGGTCAGGGTGACAGTAAGGTTACTCTCGAGCATGTTTAGAACATCCGCCATGTGCATCTCCCGCCCAAGGCCCTAGGGATGGAGCAGTGAAGCAGACCGCTGAGGAGTCTGTCCTCACGGAGAAGGTGAGCTAAGAAATATCCAGGAGGATTTCAGATAGTCCTAAAATAGGAGAATGGGGTTGTGAGTTTCTTAGGGTGTGTGTGGGTATGTGTGTGTGTGTGTGTGTGTGTGTGTGTGTACTGGTTTCCTGTGGCTGCTGTAACATATTACCACAAACCAGGCGGCTTCAAACAACAGAAGCGTGTTAACACAGTCCTGGAGGTCAGACGGACTCCGAAGTCCAGGCGTCAGCAGGGTCTTGTTCTAGCCGAGAGCTCTAGTGAGGCGCCCTCATTGGCTCCTCCAGCTTCCGGTGGTTCTGGAAATCCTTCGCATTCTGCGGCTGTAGCCACATCCCTCCAACCTCTGCCTCTGTCATTCCATGGCTTCTCCCTTGTATGCTTGCGTCCGCTCTTCTTATGAGGCCATTGGGCACGGGCTTAGACCCTTCAGTTGCGGGTGACCTCGTCCTACCTTGGTCACATCTGCAGAAACCTTTTTCCTGGAATGATCTCATTTGCAGCTACCTGGGGTTAGGGCTTGAACACAGTGTGTACTTTTGGTGGGGAGAGGAGAAATTTTCAAACGCAGCATTAAGATTGCTAATTCACAGAGGGGACCCTCTTCTCTGAGGAGGGGTGTGTGTGTGTGTGTGTGTGTGTGTGTGTGTGTGTGTGTCTGGGAGTTGAACCCAGGGTCCTCTCCGAGCTACACCAAATTGCTATGTTGCCCCAGCTGGGTTCAAACTTGTGCTCCTCTGTGTCAGCTTCCTAGAGTGCTAGGATTACAGGTGTGGGCCGTCGTCCTGGCTTGCCGGTATCTTTCTATTAAAAGGGTGAGGAGCCTGCTTGTGAATGGAAAAGCACTCCAGGCAGAAAGTCCTGGAGCGGGCACGTGTGCTGGGGGCCCAGTGGACAGCCAGAAGCCGTGTGGCCGCGACAGAAAGGACAGAGGGGGCTGGGATGGGAGCGAGGCTGTGGAAGCCAGCCAGGGCAGGATCGTCCCTAAGGAGTCTGATGTTCACTGTCAGGGTCCTGGGGAGCCACGGGGGGAGTTTCCAGCAGCAGGGCTCCTTCGTCTTTTCAAAGAACCAAACTGACCTCAAGGAAGCAGGTGAGAGCGCATGCTAGGAAGCGGGTTTGAGGTGACGGTGGTGGCTTGGACGGGATGGGGGGGCTGGAATCGGCTTGGGGCAGGAGAAGTCATCAGAAGGGAGCCTTTCAGCCTGTGCAGCTGCCTCCTTTGGGGTTCTGAAGCTGTGTGGTGCTCTGCAGGGACCCTCCCTGTCTTTGGCACCTGAGGGTAGAAGCCGTTTTTTCTGTGAACCTCTGACCCCACCTCAGACGTGCGTTCCTCCCAGCCCAGGCTCCAGGTTCTACGTCTCTTCCCTCCTACCCTCTGCTTTCACTCGCAGTCATTCAGCGTTTCATCTTGGTCCAGAAATGTCCCTTGGCAAATCCACCCTCAGCTTATAACTCAGGAAGAGTGTGACTCAGGAGTATCAGATTCATGTGGGACAAAGCCATTCCCATGGTGACGTGGGGCATTCTAAGTGACATCACCACCTGCCCTCCGCCTTAGTTTCCTTAGCTGAAAAGCGAGGCACTAGTAATCCTTACACATGGGATCTAATGAAGTTCTTGAGTAGCCCAATGGGTCTGCTCATGTTCACTGCCATTTTAAAGTATAATTTTGTCATTTTAAATTCAAGTGACTACATTCCTTCAGCCAAATAACCATGGAAGACTGCTTGCTTCGGCAGCATATATACTAAGGGTTCCTCCTGAAGGGAATAGAGCCTTTTTTTTTTTTTTTACCAAACTCAGGGGCCTTCCTGTGGGCTGTGGATGGCAGGATTCAGTACCGGGGCCATTCAGCCCAGAGGGGTTTGCAAAGCTCTTGGCAGGGTATGTGGAGATAATCCAAAATGGCGACCGTGGGCATCTTTATCTGTCAAAGGCAGGTGGAGGTTTTGTCGTGAAGTTGAGAGAAACACAACCAAGAGGAGCCACACCCGTGCTCAGTCACGAAAAGTCAGGGTGAAGTCTAGCTTGTGGGAGGAGAGGGCAGTGTCCTGGTTTCTGGAGCCAGCTCTGTGTCCTCATCACCCCTTGAGTTCTGCGATGACTAGATCTACACATGGTATGGAAAGAACATGGCGGGAGAGAGGATGCAGGGGAGAACCAGTCCCGGGGTTAGGATGTCAAGGAAGAAAGTGTGGGTGACCGAGGCATGACAGTGGGCTGAGGGCAACAGAGAGGTGGCTGAGAGATGGCTGTGGGGCGGACAGAGGCTGACTAATGCTGTCTGCTAACTAACCAGCCCTCCTGCTGCCGGCCTTCGGCTCTGCCTGGGCAGAAGCTGGCGCCTCCTGGGGGAGGGAAGGTGCGCGTCACCCCCTGGCCAGGTCAGTCAAAGAGGGGCGTCTCTGGGAAGGGACATTTGCCCATTGTGCTGCCTCAGTGTGCGTCTGTGAGGCACAGGGGCTGTACTGGGGCGCAAAGAACCGACGAGAAGCAGACCAGGACCGAGCAGGTGTGCAGGGAGCAGGTCGAGGGAGGAGTCAGGGACCCGGAGACCAGAGCATCACATTCCTACAGGTGGGGCCGCGGCAGGCGGGTCACTCAGTGCCCGCTGACCGCGCCACGCAGGTTCACAGGCCTGGTGTGCTAGAATCTTCCCATTTTTTTTTTTCTTCAAAAGGAGAAATTGGAATTTTGGATTTTCATATGAATTCTTTGAAGTTAAAACTAGTAGTTCAGATTCTTTTAAAAAAATGACTAGACAGGCCAAACCGAATGTGGCGGCAGGATGGGGCTGGCCAGGCCCCTGCAGGAGGCCCGCAAGTGCTGCCGCTGCTGCCTGGGCGGCATCGGCCCTGCCCCACGCCCGGTGCCCCGAAGGTGCCCCCTCCCTGCCAGGGCCGCCTTTGTCACAGTCCTCTCCTGGAGAATAGTTTCCTCTCGGCGGGGAAGTCCTGTCCAGGCGTTCGTAGGTGATGCAGGAGAGAGAGAATTGGAGTCAGAATGAGGCTTGCAACTGTCTTGTGAAGGCGCTGCTGGTGGTGCGGAGGGAAGCGATGAAGGGAACGAAATGTAACGGGGCAGCGGGAAAGCCAGGGACTGGGCCGAGCTACCTTTTAATGTAATAGTTTAAAAATAATAATGCATGCCCAAAATCCATGGTGAACAAAATAATCTTAATAATTGCAGACAAAGACAGGATTGGGGTAACTCATTTTCCCTTTGGCCTCAGGTCCCAGTATGACTCAGCTCACTACTGCTTTTGTGCATTTATTTGGTGGTACTGAGGACTGAACCCAGAACCCTTGCAGTAAGCCATATTCCTATCCCTTTTTTTAAAAAAAAGTTTTTGTTTGTTTGTTTGTTTGTTTTGAGAGAGCGTCTTAAGCTTCTGAGTTGCCCCAGCTGAGCTCAAACTTGTGACCCTCCTGCCTCAGCCTCCCAGAGTGTTGGCATTACAGGCATGTGCTACCACAGCCAGCTACACTGTTGTTTCTGATCTTGTCTTTATTATAGTTTCAAGAGTTTGTTCATCAGGAATCCTTTTGGTGATTATTTTGGCTTTTAAAAATATTGCTCAAAAATACATTTTATCTGACCTCTGAAATTTTTGTTTCTCACCTCTTGAACTTTGCCTCACCCTAGTGCCAGCCCGGAGAAGTCAAATTTATCTGTTCAGAAAGCACTATGAACATCTGGAGTCATAATGAGCCCAGGGTGCGCTCAAGTTGGGGAGAGATTGCTGCTGGGTCCTGGTAAAGAACGGTCCTACTTTTTGGATTAGACTTAAAACTTTCATTGCCTGCTTTCTGCAGTCAGTGTTTGATGATCGTGGGGGGTTATCAAGACATGGGCTTCCTAATAGAAATTTATGTCTGATTCATTAAATACTGCAGTTAGGGCCGGCTGCCTGATCAGCAGGGTGTCGTAGGAAAGGAAAACCTGTGGCCCTGCTCCAAAAGCATTAATTTAAAGACAGAAACAACAGGAAAGGGGCAGCATTCTTCCCATTTCAGGGTCTCCCAAGTGTGGGGTGCTGGTGGCTGCCTGGCTGCTTCTGGGGTGAGCCTGGGTGTCCTCACTAGCATTAAAGAGTCTTGGCTGTTGGAGTTGGAGTGGGCATTAGGTATTGTTTAGTCCCCCCCTTTTACACACTGAGAAACTGAGGCACAGAAGGCCAGATGTCTCATACTCTGGGTGCAGAGTGAGTTAGAGAAACAACCTGGCGGGGAGCCCTCCCCCCGACACCTGTTCTGGGCTGGGCCGTAACCTGGCCTCCACCGGATCACTCTGGCCCTGGCCAGGCATTTATGCCTTCATGCCGGTGGGGGCCCTGGCCTTCAGGGGGGTCACTTAGGAGGGGTGAGGGAGATGCAGGGCTGCCATTCTCATTGTCCTGCTCTAAGAACGTGTCTTCTGGAGCAGGATATTTTCCTTTACAGACAATAGTTCTTTTCATTTTCCTTTAAAAATAATAAGAGAAGGGCCAGGGATATAGCTCAGCGGCACAGTACCTGCCTGGCAAGTGCAAGGTCCCCATCCCTCAAAGACAGATGCAGGCAGACTTTCCCCGAAGTCATCAAGTCAGAGGCAACGTTGCTTGGGTAAAAATGTTTGAAGGTACTGTAGCGCTGCTAGAAGCAGGGCCGCAAGTGTGCACAGCACACCGATTTTCATAACACCCACGTCCAGTCCGTCAAATTGGGCAAAGCATCCATCTTCTTGCGATGGGTTCATCCCGGCCGATCCCTGGAGGGAAGTGGTGTCAAGCCCCTTCCTTCCATCCTGTCCTCCGCTACTCTTTGGTGAGTTCCTACCACATCCTCGGTACTGTCTGAGGATCTGGGGATGCAGCCAGTGTTACCAGAAAAAAATACACCCTGTTAAATTTTATTTATTTTTTTTTTATTTTTTTATTTTTTTTGGTTTTTCTCCGGTACCAGGAACTGAACTCACGACCTTGCGCTTGCCAGGCAGGCGCTTTTGCCGCTGAGCTAAATCCCCAGCCCCAACCCTGTTAAATTTTAATTTCTGATAAACAGCAAATAATTTTTTAGCTTAAATATCCCCCATACATTTGGAATGTACTCATACTGAAAAAGCACTCCTTTTCTAAAATTTAGATTTAGCCGGGTGTGCCTTATATTTTTATTTGCTGATTCTGGCCAACTTAGTGTATTTAGAAGGGCGGGGGAGAGAGACAAAGGGAACAGACAAATCCCCTTGTGCTCATGGGGCTTACATTCAAGTTCAAGCAAGTGGCAATAAGTAGATGGACCAATATCAGTAAGAATAAAGTGTACTGTAGGGATAAGAGTTGTGTAGGACGTAAAGCAGGGAGGGGGACAGAAGCTGCCAGGGATGTCATTTCTATGGGGAAATGCGGGGAAGATCTTTTTCAGGAGGTGACATGTGAGCTGATAAATAAGCATGGCAAGAGCCAGACACTGTCAGAAGTGACAAAAGGCCTGCTGTGCTGGGTGTTTCCAAGAGCAGGTGGGTGATCAGGGTGGCAGAGGGAGCAAGGAGAGGACAGGATGTCAGGACATGATACCAGAGAGATCTGGGGTGGGGACAGCTGACATAGCACCTGGTACCCTGGCTTCTAAGGGTAATAGGAAACTGCTGGTGGGTTCTCGGGATATTTGTGTTTCAAGAGTCCTTCCAGTGCTTCGTGTTTGGGTGAACACAGAGGCACCAAGTGAAGCTAAGGGCTGCAACCGTCCAGGAGAGGACGATGAACACCAGCTTGGGTCCCTGGGGTGGGAGGTGGGACAGCAGAGTGCTGTGAGATGGTTGGGCTTGGGTTATATGTTGTGAGCTTGCACGTGGGATGGGAGAAGGGGAAGGAACACACGTCAGCTCTTGCATTTTGGCAGAGAACTGGATTAATGACAGGGTGATAGGCGAGCAGCTGAGAAGACAGTGGCTTTGGACACATCCACTTTGAGATGCCTCTCAGATACCTAGATGGGATGTTGGCTTAGCAGGTGGAGGTGTGAGCCCAGATTTCCTGGGAGAAGAGTTCCAGGTTGTAGCTAAAATGAGCTTTGTGCCAGAAGGTGAAAAGGAGGGTGGAGCTGTGGGTGGGAGGTCCTGCCAGGGCTACCACCTCTGAGTACTTGCTACCCAAGTCTTCCTTCCAACCCTCAGTACATCATATTTCTCCCTGCCCCAGGGCCTTTGCACATACTATACCTTCCCATCTGAACTTTACTTCTTCCCCTCACTATTCCCTGGGTATCTTCTGCTCAGCTTTGTGGTCCCAGCTTCAAACTCCCCTATCCAATGAAACTGTCTCTAAACATTCTGTCTATATCCGGTTCCCTACATCTGCTCACACCTCCTCCTTCCCTTTCATGGTACTATCTCAGTTTGTAATTATGTGTTGGGACACAGGCCAGTTGAATGGAGCTGAATTCCGGGGTCAGGGTCAAACAGTACCAATATTTGCTAGAAGTTTCAAACACTCCATGGCTTCATTAGTTCCCCAGGACACTTTGTTGGACTGGGTGGGAACAAACGTAGAGGTCAGGGTCATTGCACAGGGGTCAGCTGCAGGGCAGAGAGAAGGTGGACAGAGATGGCTCTGTGAAGGTCTCCACCCAACCCCCACCTCCGCTGGCCTCTCAATGCATAAAAGCCATGCATTCTGCTCCTGGATCTTGCTCCTGAGGGTATGGTATTTATTTTGGACTTGAAAATATACTTTCCCCCAACCTAAAGCCCCACCCTCCAAGCTGGCCTCTGGAGAAGCAGGCGCTCTCACCCCACAGCTCCAGTGGTTCTGCCCTGGGCCGGGGCCTGGGCTGAACTCCTTCCCTTGAAAGCACCCAGGTTGCTTCAGTGCAAGCTGCAAACCCTCAGAGCTCTGCAAAGACACCGCTGTTCAGAAGGGCAACCAAGGCGGCCAGGGTTTTACTTAAAACGTCTCAGACGATGCTCCCTAAGGCTGAAGTTGATGTGCCACTTCCAAAGCCATCAGCCCTTTATTCTTATCTTTATTCAGTATCTCAAAGGAAGATTGGGGGGGTAAGAATTTAAGTTCTTGTCCTAGCGGTTGGGTGGCCGGGGTAAGGCTCAGAGAAGAGGATCCTTAAACAGAAACTGAGGGCTTTTATCGAGACAAGCAGAGTCACACCCTCTGTCCATCCAGGCAAATATTCAGTCCATCTATCCATGCATCCACTGTGCAGAAAGCTATTCACGGGGCAGTCATGGTCGCTGCGTCAGTGGATCTCATAAGCCAGAGGAGGTAAAACTTTCTGGTCTGCCTAGCCTGGGATAATCAAGAGACAGTTACTAGGAAAGGATGTGGGGGCTGGGGACGGGGACAGGGACAAGGACGGGACAGGGTGGGGGTGGTATCACCTAGCACTCTTCTCCTTTGCCACAGCACTGGGGGAAGCTTCTTCCCTTTTTTACCTCTGACCAAATCTCAGGGTCTGGACCTTTGGTCCTGGTCATAAGGACCCAAGAGAATCCATTTCCTTTTGGCTCTCAGGACCTTAGCTGGTGTCCTCACTCCTTCCTCTGTCACCTCAATTTATCCGTCATGTCCTGCGGTGCTTGCTGCATACACCTAGTACAGGGCGCTTCTGGTCAGGAGGAAAAGGGATTTTGGAGTGCTCCGAGAACCAGAATGTGCTTTGCAAGACTCTAAAATGTGTTTGGGGCCAAGTCCAGGCCCCTCCCATGGGCTCGGAGTCTAAGCCCGTGGTTGTCGCCTCTGGCCCCATATTGGAAGCATCAGGCAAGCTTTTGCAAAATACTGATGGCTGTGTCAAACGTTCTGGTTAAACTGGTGTCCGGTGGGACCCGGGTATTGAACGTGGTAACAGCGTTCTAGGTAATTCTATTGCATGGCAAGGCTGAGACCTGCTCGTGTAAGCGCAGTTGGAAACCCTATTCGCCCCTGTGCTGTTGGGCTCCAGGTTACAAGCATGACCCAGGCGGAGGCTGTGCTGGGTGATGGCCGCATTCCCAATGTCTGCAGCAGAATGGGGTACCTGGCAGGTGCGCAGTAAGCATCTGCTGACTGAATGATGCCGAGCAGCTTTGCACACACACCCCCGGTGGCACAGAGCGGTCTCCCTCTAAAGAGTGTATGGCGTCCTCCTTCCTGGCACATGGGGCCAGGGTCTCGGCACTGACGCCAAGCCATGGTTCTCTCAGGGACCTCAGGACCTCTCCTATAGGATATTCTGCTCCTCACCACTGCGCACACTTCATGTCCATCTGGAACCTTTAAAGAAGCCTTCGGATATTCCAGCTCAGTGGGTTTAGAGTGTAGCACAGTCTCTGGCATTTAAATGTGTCCCAGATGAGCTGGGCATGGTGGCGCACACCTGTAATCCTAGGACTCTGGGAGGCTGAGACAGGAGGGTCACAAGCCTGAGCTCAGTCTCATCAACTTAGTGAGACCCTGAGTAAAAAAAAAAGGATGAGGATGAAGGCCTTGGGTTCAGTTCTTAGTACCATCACCAACACACACACACACACACACACACACACACACACACACACACACACACACCCAGGTGCTGTGAGGGCTGGGGCTGCTGCTCTGTCCTGTTCCTACCCACTGTGTGTTCCCACCTTCACAAATCTGAAGTTGAGAGACGCCCCCAGGAGTGTCTTATTGGTGGATGGCACAGGGCTTGCCAGTCATACCTCTTCGTAACATTCACCTTGGTTGCTGCATTGAAAACACGTATTCCTGAGCCTGTAATCCAGACCTTTGGAATCGGAAGCTCCCCAGAGGGGCCTGGGGGTCAGGGTTTTAAACAAGCATCCACGTCTGCCGTCACCTGGCAGCCCCCCAGGAGCACTGTCCCCCAGGAGCAGCCTCCCAGTTCTTGCTCTTCCTTCAGTCCACCGCCAGAACACCCACCCTGTCTTCATCCACCGGGCTCCTTAAATGTTCCCCCCCCCCCCCCCCCCGGGCAGCCTTCCCTGACCTCCAGGGGACTGCAGGCTCCTCAGCCTGACTATACCAGACCCTGGTGAGTTCTCTCCTGGCACCCACAGAAGGGAGTGTTGATGATCTTCGTTTTGTTCCCTTATGGCCCCTGCCCCCCTACCCCGGGGCAGCAGGGGCTGGTTCTTGCTGGGTTCCAGCACCTGCCACGCGGTGGGACTGTGCTTTCAGAGCGTCTGCGATTCCTTCCTGGCCCTGGGAAGCTGAGTTCAGGGCATGCAGTCAGGGGCTGTGTAGAGAAGCACCAGGAGATGCGAGTTTGCGAAAGGAGGTAGCCCCCAAAGAGCAAAGGAAAAGGAAGAGATCCCTGTGAGTTCCCTTGGGGCAAAAGCTGCAAGTGGCAGCAGCTTTCTTGTCTAAACCTTGGGTCGGCCAGGGCCGCCTGTGACCACCCTGAGGAAGGTAGGAGGCAGTGGCCGCCAAGCGCAGCTGGTGCCCAGACTGTGCGGCTGGCGGGCGGCCTTCTCCCTCCCGCTGGGGCCAGCCCGGCTGCCCGCCCCTCCCCTC